TTAGTTAGCGACTGCACCTCCTTCCTTATTATCCCTGTCTCTTCTGACCAGAAACATCACCCATACTGATTTCGTTGTCGGCGATAGTGGGGGTTAGCCAGGTTTCAGTGAGAATGATTATTTTAAGGTGCAGATGTGACTGGAGATTTCTAACTTCACCTATTTTTCCTCTCAGCCCCTCACATTGCTATATAGGCGGCTGATAGTGAGTCTCACAACCTCAATGTGTTGTGAGGTAGTTGACTTTAAGCTGTCTGCTGATAGTGGACTTAATTTTGGGATTAGTTGGCTGATTTCGATGGAAAGGGCTTGTTGTAGTTTTTTCCATGAATCCAGGTATAACACTTGGGTGATCCACACTGTTATTCTCAGTACCTGAGGCTTGAAGACGTATTAAAGCCTCATTTTGTTGCCTCCTTATGGTTCGAGGTCTGCTTTCGCAGCATCGGATATGTCCTACCATTTTCCCCTTGGTCTCATTCAACGTTGAGGTTCTATAGTCAACTGCTCCTGGGAGTTCAATGTGACAGCAACCTTGGAGAACTAATCAGTGTGAGATGAGCGGGACAAGGTAATCGGAAAATAGAGATTTCTCCAGAAGCGCCAAGGGCCATCTGAAGTGGCAGCCGTCTTCACTGCTGTACCTGAGCCATTAATAGTATCCTTTAGGCCTCTTCGGCAGAGTTCAGTGTAACCATTAATAGGGGTGGCTCACCATGTGGCGTGTAGACACCCCTATACGGCCTGCACAGTTTCTCTGGACTAATGTTCATACTTAATCTGTTGCACAAATGGGACCACTTTTCCTGATCAAACAGGCCCCGTTGCTCAAGGAACCTATTCTTTCTCACAGGTACATTAAAAAGGAAAAGAGAGTTAGACCGGCTGACCTCAGACTTGGGTTTGGCCTTTGGCTGCTTGTATTCCATTGCAGGGTCAGCAACTTTAGGCTTCATCAAGTTTCGACCAGCCTTTGCTGTGTTGTCGAGCTTGCTAGTGGATGCAAGTGGTGCTTTGGCAATCCTATCTTTCTCTGACGTTATAGGTACAACCTTGGGACTCTTCACTTTGTGAAGATTGGCATTTCCAGTCAGTAGGACTGGAGTATCCTTCTTACTATCTGTACCAAGCTTTGGCAGTAGGTTGTTAGCAGTTGGGGAGCTGCATGAGACTGTGTTGAGACACAAGAGTGACGGGCTGTTTCTGCAATCCTCAGACTCGCTGTGTGGGACTGTGCCAGGGCGAAAAAGTGGGCAGTTGTACCAGAACCACGGGGATGGGTTATTTCTCATAAACTCGTAGTATGCTTTCGGCACCTCTTTATCACAACGGCAGTGTACCCGTCGTTTGCGAAAATTGCATTCAAATTCTGAGTAAGTTTTAGAGACGATGACACTACACGCCTGACATTCGCCTCCCTTCCTTGATTACGCTTTCTTGGTCCTATGACGTCTTGAGCGTTTCCTTTTTGTTTAGCTGTGTTTCACGCACTGGCTTTCACTGGATGCAGGTGTAGTGTCAGAACAGGTGAGACCTACACAAGTCTTTAGGAACGGTATGCGAGATGGGATTGATGTCCCTGGGTTATTGCCTCCTCTAGCTGAAGCCCTTGTGACTACAGAATATGGTGTTTTAGTGCATTTTCTAAGGCTACTTTCAACAGCCATTTTAACAATCACGATGACTTATGTTATATAAGAATAAGAGAGCAACAGAATTTACCTACAAGAACAAGAATAAGACTGATAATGTACAAGATATGAAAAAGAAGAGGTTTTCGACTTTACTCAGTACTTTCTGGATGATCGGCTTCACAGCAATCACGTTGTAGACCAACAAGTCTTATAATAATAATTTATATTTCGTACAAACGGGTAAGTTTACATGAAATGCATGCCATTTTTACAGGCACGATCAATTATGTTACGAATTACATTTATGAATTAGCATACATTATAACTCTTTAAAAAGTTCAAATTTTTAAATTATAGTACAAGCAATCGGAACAGATTCTAATAATTGTTAAATTTTAAATCTTTCACGAAGGTCTCCATCGAAGTTGAGCGACAACCCATACTTCGTTCCACTTCCTGATGATAGTAATGGTCTATCGATAAACAAAATATATTTGAGTGAGTACTGTGACGACACGTGCTTCAACGCTCTCTCAGGAATAGGAGAAAATCCTGCACAGCTACAAAGTGGTATAAAATGCAATCATGAATAATACATTATTGGAAGTATATTTACAAGAAAAATACAAGAATAAGCTATACAGTATTTAATATGATAGCGCACATTTGCAATGTATGATGCTAACCATTTTGGTCTTACCGTGGAAAACTATGACGTTTTCTATGAAAATAAAGTTATTCTCAAATATGAGTGTTGTTATTTTTTTATCATCAGAGCAACCGATTTTTATGCGAGAAAAGGGTGTGAATGAGAAAAAAGAAAAACAAAAGAGTAAATTTCAGCTTTACTAAAGGCCTAGGAAGTTGAGATAAAATAGAGTATGATAGTAATTAGGTAGAAGGATTATCGTGAAGTATATAAGTGACATTTCAGAGAGAAGTGGCTTGAAGGATTAGAACCTGTTGAATATGGTGACCTGAAGGATGTCTGGCGAACTTGTGTATGGCCCATGCGATAGCATCTTGACAAGAAACTGAGCAGGCTTGTAGGTGTTAGGAGCGAAAGCATTATTTTTTACAAGCTAAAACTGTACAGTCATTATTGTTTTAGTTTTTTTTTAATTTTTTTTAAAGTCAGTTTTTTATACTTTCAGTATCTAAACTCATGTTTAGTTCTCGAGCTGCCAAAATAATACATGTTGCTGTCCTACAGATTGGAGCGATTCACATTTATGACCACTACCAAATCTGCTGATCAGCATGCGCCACCCTCCCTCCTTTTTGACATTAAGCTCTGAGACCTTTTACAATGACTGCAGTTGTAATATTGGATTGCTTTAACTCCGTCACAATCATACAGTATGCTGCACATTAACAGCTTTCATGACAAGTGCTTCCCATTAAGTCACATGGCACAATAATACCAGAGGACATTGTTAGCAGTATTATCATCATACTAGTGAACAAGTGGATTACTACAAAAGACTAAGAAATTAGGTTTCCCTTATAGTTATGGAGTATAAAAATAGCTAATATTAGAGCAACTAAGTTATATTCTATTTAGCAGAGTGATATGAGTAGTGGAACAATTAGTGATAAAGTTATGTAAAGTGGTCCTGAGTAAGGTAACTGGTTATGAGAACTTGTTATGCTAAATTTTCACGACCGATTTTATGTGGTGTGCGTTACACATCGCAAAGTCACTCATCAGTTACATAATGGAAAAATACTACATAATTCCAACAATATGAAATTTTTAGAAAATTATATGAAAATGGGTAAGTGTTGACTGAAGATAGTCATTTCAACTCAAAAATAGTACTACTAATATTAATAATATATTTGTAGCAGACGCCTAGGAAATTGTGTTTAAGAAGTATGAAGTATAGAAGTAGCTAGTATTACAGCAACTAAGTTGAAGTCTATTTAGCAGAGTAAAAAGTGTAGTGGAACAATTAGTGATAAAATTATGTATAATGATCCTGAAGAAAACAGCCGGTTAACAGAGCTAGTTATGCTAAATTTTTCATGACCGATTTTCATACGGTGCGCATTAGATATTGCAAAGTGACCCTTCAACTTATATAATGTTAAAAATAATTCGAAATATTATAAAAATTATACGTTTTAGAAAAGTATATGAGAAAAGGTGGTTATTAGTTGAGTAAAGTCATTCAGACACAAAAAATAGCATTGTATTATTAACTGTATATACATATGTAAAATATTAAAAGGTGTGGTTGCTAATATAGTTGTTTCTAGAAGTACTTATATTAACATAACTTATTGAAGTCTATACAGAAAGGAAAATCACTAAATTAGTTAAACGTTCACTGCGTAAGTAGCAGAGTCGAGTTATATGTAACTGACTGAGCTGAAGACTGGACCGGCTTTTACTTACCATTTTACCAACATTTGTGGTCTTTTAGACAAGCTAGGGTGGACATGTTTATGTGTCTCTCTAGGCTCCGTTTGAACCCATTGGGGTTTTCACAACATCTAATTTCAGATGGTAGTTGGTTCCAAAGAGTGCAATATTTAATGGTGAAGAAGTTTGCCCTAATGGATTTTCTGTGGTTAGCTACCTTGACAAGGTAGTTGTGGTTTCGCAGCTGATATGATTTAATATTTTCCCACGTTATGGATGAGTTACTATAACAGTGTTTTCTTATGACTTTGAATAGTAGAAATTAGTTGCACTTCACTCTCCTTAACCACAGAGGTTCTAAATTCGGACGCATACACCTGCCCAAATGGAAAATTCTCTTGAAACTCGAACTTCATTTTGTTAATGGATATAGTTCTGTACTCGTCCTTCAGCATTATCCATTCTCCCTTTACCAAGTTTCCTGACTATTGATTTATCATTGTTTTTCAGAAACCGCCATGACATAAAACTTTTCTTAAATGTTAAATTTCATTATGTATCCGTTTGTACGCCTACTTTATCTGCATTAACTAGTTCTATTATTATTTTTTCTTGTCTTTTCGATTATTAGCTTATATTATCAACTTCATTCACAGCAGCGGCGTTGTCTTAAAATACTGCATACTGTGAAATGCATTTAACAAATCTTCACACTATTCCCCTTGGTGTCAACCAATGCTAAAGTAGTCGAGTGGTGGTACACACAAAGAGGGAGTTTACCGAATATAATTACCATCAACTCACAACCAGGGAGCCAGCTCAGAGATCTCAGTCTGATTAACACCAGTTTTTGAAAGCTGCGATGGATACTGGACATTTCAATAGAGTCAAATTCTGAACATATGAAGTACTTCCTTTCCCAAATTACCAAACCTCCTACTGCACTCACTGTCCACCAGAACTGCTACATATAAGATCCAAATTCGACTATTTCAAATTCACAACAATTCAAAGTAGTTCATTCATTAGTTGGAATTGGCTACCAAGAAATGCAATTTAGTTTAAATAAGCTGTCGAGGAGAATATTTGAGTGCGTAAAATCAACTGTGACGGTACATAGTTGGCTTGTGCATTTCGCTTTATCCTTAACGTTTCGTGGCCTAAGCCTACGTACCTTGCATGTTTATATATGTATGTATTTTCTTTTGATACCAATTAATTTTTTGATGATATTTTTCTTTTAGAAATAGTTCCAAATTAGGTTATGTCATATTTACTTATCTTGGAAATATTCTTTTTCGGAACCATTATACGTATAATTACTAATACTTGATAATGGAAATGATGTATATTTAAATGCATGACACAAAAAATTTTCAGGTTTCAACCAGTCGAGAGCATGCATTTTTATTACGTACTTCATATAATTCTGTGTAGGTTTTATAGGTCATGGTGCTTACTTATTGTCTGAGAGTCTGATACTAAGTTTTACTGATGGCTAATTGCTGCCTTGTTATCCTAGCGAGAAGGGGAGAGATGAGTTGGTGACACTGTACACACTTCTCTTCGCTCGACTCCGGCAAAAATAAGGTACCCAGACGAGGTAAACGTAGTTCGCGTTCTCTTAAAGCCTTCACAACTTAAGCGTCTGAACCCTGTGTCAGTCCATCAACAAGTCTTTGTATATATGTTTTTGTGGCACACATAATAAACAACTATATTTGCTGATTAAAGCCTGTCACTATGTTAGCTGTACAGGAGTTACTTTTTGCGTGATTGGTGTAAATAACCATAATGTGTACTGCTGTACTGAATTCTATTAGACAATTGTCTCTGTGATATTCAGCTGAAGGAGATCTCACGATTATGGAAGTACAAGGAAAGTCGTTGCTGCCTTTCCTCATTCTCCTTCCACATATCATGTAACTAAATATCAGGTGAAGCGACAAGAAATTTTTACCTCAAACTTCCCAGTTTGCTGTGGAAGTTAGAATGCCCAGATAAAGTTATATTAGCAGGTACTGAATTAGGGTAAATGAGCGAAACGGAGAGGTATATTGTAATTTCTATATAGTCCATCTGTGAACCAGCTCAGATAATAAATCACTTGTATTCATAAGGTTCACAGTCATACAAAGATTAAATGTGCTCATGAAGGGTAAAATCGAGAAAACTAAGTAAGATTGAGCCCTTAATCAAGTGTTCAGCCTTCAGCAAGTTCTGGAACACAAACATCAATAGTAATTTCTCATAGTGACCATATACTTCGACCAGTAGGTGGGATTTGACTTTTCCAGTCTAGAGGTGTTAATGTTATGTTTTAGTATGAATAATGAGCCTAGAAAACACCTTTTTCATTCTAGACACTGCTTTAACCTATGCAGCTGTGCGAAAGTCATCTGAATTGGTGACATATAGTGAGATATCCAGTGCTTATTGTTGACTACGATGTCTCTGAAATGGACGTGGTGTGATGTGTACTCTTTGGCCTGAACATCCGTTTTTCAAACTGTAAACGGCGGTTTCGAATCTAGCTGTACCTGCCTTAACCTTTTCAAGTGGGTATTGTCATCACCCTTCAAACAATACATGCGGCTCATATCCTGTTACATGAAATGATCAGTTTTGAACAACTGTATTCGAACAAGGAAAGGTATCACTAATCTACGATATACGGATTGTCTAGTCTTTTCAGGCGAAAACACCGACGATATGCAAAGTTTTATAAAAAAACTGAGCCATAATTTGTATATGTATGACATGTACTTGCACTCTTTAACTGTAAGATAATGCTATTGCACTGGTCTTCATTTTCTAGTTTCAAAATGAGATGTAGATTAGTGGAATCTGTAGGTCACTTCACTTAGTCTTAAAGTCATACCAAACGTAGTTGACGAGTTTCTAACAAAAATCAGTGCAGATACGAATGCTTGTTTATCAGTTGCTGTCTCTGCTACAGGCATGATATCTGACATCCTATGGTGTGTGTGTGTGTACTGAGTAGCATTCCGCTTTGTTCTTTCTAAGGCTATTCCAAATGTCTGTCGAAAATAGAAGATAGGAAAGTGTGTAGGTCCTTGAGCAGAAGTTTCTTCGTAGGGTTATTCCCTTAAGGTAAAATACTATTTTAAATGATAATGACGGTGGGTATTGAAACAGTTTTTTTCTTAAATAAAAAAATCATGCATCGGATTTGTCTGTGACGCATTGTTAGGAAGAGCTGAGTTAAACAATAGTTACGCGATAGATCACTGATCTTCAGATTACCTCAAGATAATGCGATTCGTTAGGTTCTCTGTTTTTTTTTCACTTTTGTCTTGCACACTTGATCAGATGATTTCCATTACTTTTTAAACTAACTTTTTAATTTCCTTGCTTATTCCTATTCCTGTTTGTCTTTTAGATTTAATTAATCTCATGTTAACATTTTGAAAAAAAGTGAAAACAACAATTTAATTGGTAAACGTTTATAAATAGGGAATAATGAGCGAAACACAATTATTGAATTCTACGAATGATACCAGTCCTGACTTCACATCTTCACATATAAGCACAAGCTGGTCACACTTACCTGTTAAATTTACTTGCTGTGATGCAGATCAAGAAGAGTTAGATGATTCATCATTTCCTGTTGAAGGAGCTAGCGGTGATGGATTTTCTCAGCATGTACGCAATCAGTTTGGAAGTGATACCAGTGAACCATTAAGTGCATCAAGTCCACTTGGTTTAGATGGTGTCAAAAGTAATTTGAGGAATTCACTTGCATCTATACCGAATCATCTATCTGTAGAATACAGTGTAAGTGAAACAATTTTTAAAAAAATTTTCCATACTTCTATAAATAGTATTTTATAAATTCGTTCACTAGGCTTAAGTACAAATCTATAAAAATCCTCATTCATATCCATTACAGTTATCAGAAAGCTATGAATACTGATTCTGTATTTTGAATAACGTTTGTCAGAAACATATTTTACAAATAATTTGTTAACAATAGAGCCTAATATTATTTAATAACTGTCGAACGTGTATCACTTCATACCTAAATGTCAGGTAAAAGGTAACCTAAGGGCAGATAAAAAAAATGAGAATTTGTCAATCAAGCGTAAAACCAATTGGGAAAAGTAAGACGAATAACAATAATAATAATGGAGTATAGATGCATGTTCAACACTACAATCGCGCTTTTGAGCCATGTCGCCTAGTGTGTAATTCTGTCTTTTGGCGGTCACGTCAGCCCAATCTGGTTAGCCTACACTGTCATATAAGTGATTCAAACCAAATGCCTATTGATTATGGTTTCGTATCATTTTCACATCAACCGATAGGTCGTGTGGAACGAGGAGGAAGACATACATTTAGCTGGTAAGAAGACTTTATAAGACTTGGACTTCCCGTAGGATTTATGTCTACAGGCGAAGAACAACAAGTTGGCAGAAGAAGCACCAGAGACAGGAGAGAGGGAGAGAGAGGTGATTATGAAAATGCCTAATAAGCAACAACAACAACAACAAGCGGCAATCAGCATCAACATGAGATATTTTTACCTATCTAGGCAGAGTCGTTTCAACCATGAGCGGCACGAATAGCGATGTCAAAGCTAGGATCAAAAAGGCAAGGCAAGATAGGCCTTGATTAATCTGAAACCAGTGGAAAAGTTTGCTGTGCTCAGCACAGAGAAAAATAGAGATTCAAATTTTCAACACTAAGGTCACGTCATCGCTACTAACGGTTCAGAGACTTGGTGTGTCACCGTAGGCATTTCGGACAGGCCAGCTGCCTTCGCTGGCTGCTTACTGAAGATCAATTGGTCAGAAACTATAGGCAACAAGGGACTCTGGCAACGAACTGACCAAGAACCTATTGACCAACATATGTAATTAGAAAAAAAATGGAGATGGATTGAATACGGGCTAAGGAGACCATTAAATAACGTCATGCGCTATCAGCAACAGGGATCTCTGGGAGCGAACCAACCAGGAACCGATTGTGAAACAAATATGCAGGAAGAAATGGAGATGGATTGGCTGGCCATACTCTGAGAAAGCAAACCATCAAGTGACATCACTAGACAAGCCATTGCTCTAGTGGAACCCAAAAGGGAAGCTGCGAGTTGGTCATCAGTGCGAGGGTGACTTGGAGGATGTCATGTGAAGAGGAGATGAAAACGTGTGGGCATACATGGAGCCAGGTGAAGACTCTAGCAGAGAACCGAACGCAATGGAGACGCACGGTTGAAGCCCTATGTTCCTCTAGGAATTAAAGGATACAATAATAATAATAATACGCGCCATGCAGGTCCTCGAGTGGAACCTGAATGTGAGAAACTGTAAGTTGGACTTGTCTTCGAGGGTGACATTGGGAGATCATGTAAGGAGGAGATGTGAGCTTATGTGTGGTAATCGTGGATTTAGGCATGAAACAAAAAAAACTGTCGAGAACAAAGTGGAATGGAGATTCGCTGTTGATGGTCTTCTATGTTCCACTCGGAACCTAAGCAGATAATAATTGTAATAACAACAAAGTTCGGCCTGTGCAACTAAGTAGCATTATAAGCTATATGACACATTAGTTGACTCATAGCCTAACACAGAATCTTGCATTGGGTCACTGAGTTGCACTTATGAAATTATGTACATATTATTTTATTGGTTAATTCGTCACTTAGTTTATAATTAGTCAAATCTTTATCTATGCTTTTTGTGTTAGCTTGTTATAATTTGACATATCGCATATGTAAATGACGTGTTAGTTGTAGAGATTACGTAAATTCTAAATGTAAATTTCTATTTATATAAATCAATCATGTGAATCTGTCAACACTAAACGATTAATTTCGATAAAACAAAATTAGAACAACCTTTATGACTTCTTGTAATGTGAATATAATTAATTAAAGTCAGCTTCCATAACCAACCAATTGTGTGCACTTTAGTCCTGTTTCTTTGTCTGTTTGATAGTTGTCTTCGTAAAAGAATATTCGCTTTTCTGGTTGATTTGAATGAATAAATATATAATTAACAGCTTCTCAAGGAGTTGATGAATCATCTGTGAAGACAAAAAATGAAAAAAAAATATTTTCAAGTGTTGGTTTCTGGGGATTTGGTTGATTGGTTACAGGATTTCATTATGAGCTGACATTGGTTAGAGAAGAACTATTGGAAAACCTGCAGGGAGTACTGGACAGTCGGCTGTTTCGTCAGCTTAGTTTGGGACTCTTCAACAGTATGCACCCACTCACTGCCGGGGTTCGAACCCACGACCTTCTGGTTACAAGGCGAGCTAGCTCGTAGACCATTAAGCCACTGGGACCTGATCCAATGGCCAGTGCATGAATTTTAACTTCTGCCAATTCACGGCATAGCGCAACCCCTAGCCAATGTCTTCGGCGAGTATTTGCCCTAACACCCGACCATCTGCTGCAGTCCACTGGTCACGACTTTTCACTAGAACCCCAGGTAACTACCTACTTGATTATAGGGAAAGTAGCTAGTGAGCATCTCATCGATATTCAAGTGTTGGTTTGTAGGGATTTGATTGATTGGTTACATGATTTCATCATGAGCTGACGATTTACCGATTTGTGAATATTTTTTATCCCTTAGATTCCCAATGGAATATAGGACTTCTTCACAGAAGCATATCTCCCCTTCACTTTGTTCTCTAGAGTCTTTTCTTTTTAAAAATTTGGTTTCACGACTGCCCATAAACTTTCATCTCCTCCTCCTCCTGCCTGTATGATTTCCTGCATGTGTCACTCTTGGAGGCTCGACTCGTCGTTTCTTATTCGAGTTCTATGCGAGAGCCTGGTGCATGATGACATATTCAACGGTCTCCAGAGCATGTGTTCGACTTATCTCCAACTCCTGCTAGATATTTGTTGGGTGGGTAATAGGTTATTGGTTGGTGGTTCGTTGCTAAAGTTCCTTGTTGTTTCTCTCTCTCTCTGTCGGCTGTCCAATCTGCACTATAGAGCCAGCAAAGGCAACTGTTGATGATGACGCGTTCGCTAAGTCTCTGAACCATATATATATATGGAAGCATTGTCTGACTTGACATTAGTGTTTAATATTCGGATATTGTATACGCTGCCGTCAATCACTAGTTCATTGAAGGCGCAGAAGTCGGCGAAGACTTCTTCATTTTTATTCATTTCTCCGAGAGCTTCTCTACCCATGATGAGTTCTCTTCCTGTGTTGTCTGGTCCCGGTTTGTCGTTCATGTCTCCCATTAGTATTTTAATGTCACCAACTGGAGACTATTGTCCATTGTTGCCTGTAGTTGTCTGTAGAACTATTCTTTCTTTTCGAGGTCTGCGTTGTTTGTGGGTGCATAGCATTGTATAACTGACACCTTCCTTCTTTTGGTGTTGAATCTGGCGGTCATTATCCTGGGCAAGATCGTCTCCCATTGCATCAGGGCCTTTGTCGCTGTTGGTGACATCATGATAGTCACGCCCTTGGTGTGCATGTGGTTGTCTTCTGGGTGACTGGAGTAGATCACTGACTTCTCTCGTTGACAATTTTGTGAGTCTGGTAAGGATCGGGAAAGCAAGACAAGCTTTCACTACTCTCAAGTCTGTGTGGAGGTCGACAGCACTACTCAGCATCAAAAATAAGGTCCGGATTTTCAACTCCAATGTGAAGTCAGTGCTACTTACTGTAGGGATCAGAAACTTGGCCAGCGCGTCATAAAAAGCACCTCAAACGAACTACAAACCTTCATCAACAGTTGCCTTCGCTCAATACTACTAAAGATCAGATGGCCGGTGAGAAAAGATCAGCAACGGGGATCTCTGGCAATGAGGGAACCAACCCAGCAGGAACCGATTGTGAAACAAATAAGCAGGAAGAAATGGAGATAGGTGGATTGGCCATACTCTGAGGAAACCATCAAGTGAGTGACATCACTAGACAAGCCATCGCTCGAGTGGAACCCGAAAGGGAAGCGGCGAGTTGGTCGTCAGTGCAAGAGTGACTATGAGGAGGTCATGTGATGAGGAAATGAAAACGTGTGGGCAGACATGGAGTCAGGTGAAAACCTTAGCAGAGAACCGACTGCAATGGAGACGTGCAGTTGTAACCCTATGTTCCTCTAGGAATTAAAGGAAACAACAATAATAATAAATTCGGATAGTTCCTTGTGTTGAATGCTGTAGAATTCTATGCTGATTTCAGATTAATGAAGGTCAGTCTTGATTGTCCGATAGTGGTTGACTTCAACATCCTCATCCATGACACCTACTATTCAAACGATTCTGCCTAGGTAAGTGGAAGCAATGACTTCCTCTAGATAGGTCCCGTTGATGTAATTGATTTTTGTTTTTATTGCTTATGCATCTTCATCAATTCTGTCCTCTCTGCCTGCCTCTTTGGTGAACGTATTGGTGTCTGCCTGGTAGATCTTTGACTTTCTTCGACATTAGATATAAATCATTTGAGAAGTTCAGAACTTTCGGCGTTTTTTGTTTTGGTCCAAAGTATTCCCGTCTTCACACTCTCCACGGTCTGTCGCATGAGCCAGTCTACCACAGGCAGGAAGACCATCGGTGGTGGTAGGCAGCCTTGTCTTACTCGTGCTTTCACTTCAAGACCTTTATTACGCTTTTCTTCAGGAATCATGTGGCATGTAGCGTCATTACATAGCTGTTGGATAAGGTTTATACATATGTTTTTATATTTCTCATTCACCGCTTCCCTTTTGGGTTCCACTCAAGCTATGGCCAGACGCGTGATGTCACCCAGCCGCCTTCTCAGCGAGTGTTCAATCCATCTCCACTTTCTCCTGCATATTTGTTGGGCGATTGGTTCTTGTTTTGTTTGCTTCCATAGCTTCTTGTTTGTGATTCTTTCGGCCATCTAATCTTCAGTATAGAACGAAGGCAGTTGTTGGTAAAGGTCTGCAACCTGCTGGAAATATTTTTTGTGACCCGCCAAGTTTCTGATCCATATAGAAGAAGTGACCTGATGTTTGTATTGAAAATTCGAATTTTGTTGTTGATGCTGAGTGACGAATATTTCTAGATTGGTTTCATGTTGATGAATGTGTTTCTCGCCTTCCCGATTCTCAATTTGACATCCTCGTCCGTTCCTCCTGTAGTTGAGACAATGCTCTCTAGATAAGTGAGTGAATGAAGTAACCTCTTTCAAATCCCTTCCGTTGATGGTGATTGGCGCTGGATGTTGCTGCTGTTGTTGTTGTTGGTTGGTTATTTTCATAACCTCCGTCTTGTCTATGTTCCCCTGGAGTCCTGTCTTTGCTGCTTCTTCGACCACTTTGTCGGTTTTCGCTTGTAAGTCTTCGATTTTGTGTGACATCAAACATAAATCATCCACGCGCGAAATCCAGGTCTTCTAGATTCTTCACATCGGTCCAGTATATCCCTGTCTTCTCGTTTCCCACTGTCTGATGCATAATCCAGTCCATCACAATTAGGAATATCATTGGTGATAATAAGCACCCTTGTCTGACTCCTGTGTTTACTCCAAACGCCTCGCTGAGTTTTCCGTTGTGGATTACTTGACATGTGCCGTTGTCGTACAGTTGTTAAATAAGGTTGATGAATATTTGGGGTACATCGTAGTACTCGAGTAGTTTCTAAATTACTTCGCGGTCAACGCAGTCTGTGGAAGGCCTTCTCAAAGTCTATAAAGTCCATTTACATAACCACCACCAATAGTTCAGTTTACTTATCACTGACTAGACTATTGACTAAGCAACTAAGAACTGAGAAGTTGTCACCACGAAGTCGGGTAAGAGGTCAATTACTTACCGGTGACATTGGATAGCGGTTGTGCTGTATATATACATATATCAAGAATTGGCAGAATTTGGAATTCATGGGCTGGTAGTCATCGGATCAGATCTCAGTGGTTGAATGGTCTATGAGTTCACCTTGTCACCGGTAAGTCTTAGATTCGAATCGCAGTGCGTGTGTACTGATGAAGAGTCACAAACTTAGACTAAGTAACTTTTCAGAGCCTCCTTTATGCCTGTGAGACATGACTACTGACAGTGGAAATGGCAGTTGTCTTTGATCATAAATGTCTGCATTCTATTTCCCATGTGTTAGATGGTGTAAATAGAGTGAGTTTTAATGGTGGCGTTAGGCGTCAAGTTCCTGGTATGGAGGGAAAATCAATCGACTAAACTGTGAAGTTACATTGATTGGAGATAGTTAGGATATGTGTTACGTATACCTAGCCTGCCTGCCTAGCCATCGCCTTCCTCAACTGACAGGCAATATTAGCTGACATAGGATGGATCAGATTGGAAAGGAGAGAGCTATTGGTGGTCAAGCCAAAACACGGCTTCATCAGTCAATGAAATCCACAACAGTTAGTTTAAACCAGCCAGACAGTCACGTAGGGATGAAGGTGAAGACTTCCTGACTGGCTGGGGTTCTCGGGATGGTAAGAACTAATGAAGACTGGAGGGAATTAGTGATATGGCTCAAAAGCTTCATTCTCAATGACTAGCGCAGATGCATGCATTCACTCTTTGTGATTTGTCATACCCAATGAAACTGTATTGTTCTTCCATATTACTGTTCTTTTTTTGTCCCTTACACTTCTGTTTATTGTCTATCTTTTGTTGAATCTCACTTTCCTCACTTCTCTTGTTTTGTGTGGTACATGGAAGGAGTGTGGCAACTGGTGCATATCTATGCAAATCTCTGCATATGCCAATTTACGCCATCTCTAGCGTAGGCGTGACGTACCGTTTAGAAGTTCGCTCCGTCCTTCTCTATGGCTCTGAAATATGGCCAATACGAGCCTTGTCTACCTTTGTGTGCTATTTAGAACGTGGCAACTGGAACTGCTGCACTTCGGTGCCAAGTTCTATGTTGAATCCAGACAGATATTGAAACCAGTCAGTCAGTTAGCTCCTCCTGTTTTACCAATGGGTTCTCTGACTAATGTAACCTTATGATTAGACCTGTAACTAATGAATACGAATTTTCATATGCTGAATAAATTCTGTCAATCACTTTTTACTCTCGTTTCCTCATTTTTGTTTTCTGTTTGTTCGTTTTGTTTTGTTTTCATTTTTTAAGAATAATCGACAGTCGTCTAATAGTACTAAGTCAGTGTCTCCAGACTGTAGCACAACTAGTTTACTGCGTACCTCAAAAACAAGTTCATCTGTGCTGACAATGATGAACACTAGTAAACAGCATAATAATAATACTAATGCAAATGTCAGTGATGATAGTGGTGTTATCGATAAAATCCCATCGCTTGGTGTAAGATCAAATTCTAATCTAACTATTTCATCCTGGTCAACTGTACAAAGTCGTCATACTGGCAAATCAAGTCCTACACAATTATCTGCATTATCTAATCAAAATGTTTTCAAATCAAGTACTCGAGCTTCATCAAGACGTCTTGCAAGTTTATATAATGTAAGTCTTAGTTAGTAATTTTGAATACTCTTGCAGTCTTCAACCATTCTCTTCATTTTCTTATCATAATCGTATTTCGCATGTATATATATATATATATCCTAGTTTTGTAACCCTTCAACAATGAACCCACGACCTCACAAGGGGTAAAGTCCAAGTCAGTTAGGATTTCAGAGGCAAATATACATTCCGAGGTACTACTGTAACGACAGAAGACAAGGGCCAGGCAATGGATCCTTTATTGAGAAAATCAACAGATATTTATATATTTTTATGTTTATTATTATAGGTTACTGTTAGCAGAGAAACATAGTCTTCTGATTGGTTGTTTTCTTGCTCAAGGTTATTCTATCATCTCTTTGTGGCTGTTTTTTGAAGGTCAGACCATATATCTGCGAATCATATTTGCACACACTAAGTCTGCTGTGATTGGTTGTTGAGTTCCTCAAGGTTAGGCAGCTTTGTTCTTGTTATTGTCTTTTCTCATCACCCCAATTCACCTAGCAGACAGCTCTCACCACACACTACAATCTATGTCGGCCTAGGATTTAATCGCTGGCGGTGATAGAGTCGTGGGTATGTGTGACTGAATACTTCAAAACCGGCTTGAAATTGCCCTCCAGTGTTTTTTTTCATTGTCTTTCAATAGTTTTATGAGTGATTTTCAGTTTTATAATGAAATCCACTTTTCAGTATCGATCACACTCCCCATAAAGCCAACATTGATTTTTTTTAAAAATATTTAATGTATGCGTCTTAACTCTAGGAATTAGTTAGTTCTGTTCTGTATACTGTGTTTTTGAAATCCTTATACAATTTAGTAAAGCATTGGATAGGCGTATTTACTTTTGGTGTTTTTTTTTACTGTAGACTATCTGAAGGAGCAAACAGCTTCAGTCTCAGCGGGATTGACATCAGTAACCTCATATTTAACGTATTAGCTACTCTAGCCTAATCTCTTCATTTAAATATGAATAGCTTTAAATTAGGGATGGGAATAGTATAGAGATTTCAAAAGACTGGTCTTATTGAGTGAAGAAGATGTTTTTGATGTGGTTGTGTTCTCTGAGCTAGCTGTATGGGGTTTATTTGCGAAGCTTTCATTGCCCCAAACACTAGGCGACATCTTCAGCGCATACTTCAATTTGAATTGAGGTGAGCTTTTACATTTCTCCACGAGTTTATTAATCATCTCTCCTGGCGGGTGACCTTGGACGTGATTGGTTGTTTTTGTGTGTGTTTTCATACCTTCTAGGTTACTTGTATTGTAACTCATTGTTTCTTTGAAGAAGATGTTGAATTCAAGTTGAAGTGAAAGCTTAGCTGATGAAGAAAAAAAAATTCAAAAGTCTCTTTTCTGGAGTAAATTAAGTCTGTAGACTGCGTCAATAATAACTCTTAGGCGAATCGTTAAAATTCTATCACATTCCAGCATTTCACCTCTATCCAAAGCCATTAATTATTTGCATTCTCTCTTCTGTGTTAGGTGGTATAATATGCTGAACAATATTCAGGTTAAGCATAGCGTGTTAAAAGAGGAGAGCAAGTTCTGTCTGAGTCGATGAGATTGCAGGCTGTCTCCGAATCGCACTTAATCAGTCGGCGATCAATGTCTGCTTTGTGGCGTATAAGTGAAAAGTACTGTTGAAAGAATCGCAGGAGTCAGTACCTTCACCCATCTGCAAGGGTGGGTCAAGGGAAGTTGTCGACAGGTTCGTGTATGTAGATAGGTGTGTGCGAGTGCTGACGGTGTGACAAACAATATCTTTAACTGTATAGTGAAAGCTAGAGTGTGGTTGGTATACGCCAATTTGAGCCACCTCTTTTATGCCGTCATGACTTTAGCCTCCAGGCTGAAAAAGGATTTATGTCGGCAGTCGGGTTAACGATGCTTCGGTGTGCACAGTCTGTCTTTACGCCTATGAAACCTAGCCTCCGAGCTGAGGATGTGTAGGGCGACTCTGAGTACTCGATCATTGCTATCTCCGTAGAATTGCTTGCTTTCGATGACATCATCTTGTGAATATAATTCTGATGTCCAGCACCGTATATATATGAACACGGTCTAGGTCAACATCCATCGAGTATCGTCATCTGGAAACACCGGTTTCATTGGCTTGAACATATGCTACGAATGCCCTCTCAGAGGTTTCTGTACTCGTCTCTGTACACTAGCCCCCAGACTGGATGGAAAGGACGGAGAGGTGGTGGTCAGCCTATGATGCGCTACTGTGGACTGAAGAATACCTGTGTTAGGTTAGTATCGGTTGGCAAATCACTACTACACCTCGTCGTTTGGATTTCAGTTGTAATCGATGCCGAGCATATTGCAGTCGCCTTTCTGAAAGTAATATAAAGTGATGACTGTTGACATCCCTTGTTCATTCTCCTGTTAGACATAAATCTGACCTAAACAAACTGGTTGCCTCTCACGAGGTATGCAACATAGATGGCACTGAAATAGAGATCAATTAGGAAACTTAATATCTTGACGTCATTCTATCTGCTGATCTTTCCTGGTCGTCTCATATCCTGACGATTTCTAAGAAAATATTCCGTCTTATCTTCTACATCAAGAAGTTAAAACATTCTGGTATAACCCAACCCTTACTCCTACAATTCGTTAACTCTTGCATTCTGCCTATTATTCTCTATCGTTCCCCCTTAGTTTTTCCCGGGATACTGAAGAAAGACTATAACATATTACGCAGGATGTTAAAGGTTGTCAGCATGGTAAGCAACGTGGCACTTAGCCAGCTTGTTAATATTCTGGTCGACAGGCACATGGACTCATGTGAAAAATGGGCCAAGTCCATTTTATCTAACTCACACTACCCTCTTCATTCACAACTCTCCCCTTGTATCTCATCAGGCAGGACCAGAAGCCTTTATAGAAAGCTATATGCTCGCACTAGCAAGTACAAAAACTCAATCATATCGTACTTAGCTCGTGTTCTGTGCGATAAAGAAAGCATTAGACGTGAAACTTATAACTTAATAAATAGTCAGTAGAACAATTGGATCTCGTCTTTCCAGCTCATATCATTTATAGGTACAACGTTTTCTTTCTGTCTTTTCCTTTTCTCTATTTTTTTGTCACGTGCTGTTTTGTTTCTCTCTTCCTTACAAACTCTACTTAAAACATTCTTCTTCGTTCTTCTACACTCTGTATATCTCGACCTTTTTGTTACCGCTTACGCCAGTAAATATGCTACTTATCTACTTTTCTAAGCACCTTCCAACCCTGTTCACTTTTGGCTTTGCTACCGATATGTTGTTGTCAAAACTAACTGAGACCACCCATAATCTATGTAGAATTTTATTTGTTGTTAATTACAAACTGGATGCAATACTGCAGTAAAAATGCTGAGAATTCCATTCTGTATCACATGTACTGTTTTGGGATAAAGCAAATTATTATCATTATTTGTATTGTCGTCTTATTACTGTTGTAAGGTGCTTCTCTTGTTGCCTGTAATATACCAAAAGATGACCTCAATCCATGAAGTATTTGTCAGTTGATTTGAACCATTCACGTAGCGAAGTGTGGTCTGTCTGATAATGGGGTCCTTTGAATGCTAAGAACCAATGGCCTTGAAACTGTTGGCGATATTCTTCAAAGCTGTCCGCATTGATGAGAATGCCAATCATATATATATATATATGTTTTTACCAGTTGATCACGGATTGCTATCAGTTAGAGAACCATTTAAAACCAAGGAGTTCCATCCAGATTGGTTGGTGGTCGCGCTAAATCACGAATTGGTAGAAGTTAGAATTCATGAACTGGCCACTGAATCGGATCCCAGTGGCTGGATGGTATACGAGCTAGGTTGCCTTGTAACCAGAAGGTCCTGGGTTTGAACCCCTTGTGGTGGGTGTGTTCTGCCGATGGTTCCCAAACCAGTGGGATGAAACAGCTGTCTGGCAGTACTCCCTGTGATCCTGGTTTTCAATGGTTCTCTAACTGATGTCATCAATCCGTGATCAACTCGTAAATAAACAAAACTAACTCTTACAAACCAAACTATACAGAAAATATTTTTGTTTGTTAGTTTTTGATTTTTCTTTTTTGGCACAATATAAATTTGTGCAGTTTTTGATCTCATTTCTTTTCTGTTTGTTCTAAGCAAAGAAAGGCCGATGATATACATAAGAGTGACAACGGAATCATTATTTCCTCCGCTTTAGACTCATGATTATTATTATTATTTTCATGTATTTGTTTGTATTTTGTATGATGGCGTTGTTGTTCATTAGGTTAATGCGTAGTTAAGCAAAGCTGTTTTTTTTAAATTTTCTTCTGTTGAAAATTGTGTTTTTTTAACTGGCTGTTATATTCTGCTATTTCAGTTTATGTTGCCATGTGATCGTGCGATATTGTTTGATTAAAAAAAAACATATGATATTTCCTTGAAAAAAAAGAAGATTTTACGCTGTTTCTTTCCTTACGCCTGTATACGTGTATGTATGTGCGTACTGACGTGTTGTGCAACTGTTTGCCGGTCTCTATGGTTTGTGTTTTTACCCCCCCCCCCCTGTAGTATGAGTAGTCCCGTGTCAGGAGAGAAACGGTAGATGATGGTTTGGCGGCTAGAATTATATTTGTGTTTTTGTGAAAACAACGTCAAGAGCAACTCAAAACTGTTTACAATAGTAGTTCACATTTGATTTTCAGGTCTCTATTTTAATTGTCTTTGAGATTTGTACAAAAATCAACTAAAAAAAATATTTCTGGCCACAGTCAAGTTTATTTTTTGTTTTAGAATTCTAAATCACACGTTCTGATTATGGCTGGCTGGATTCAACATAGAACTTGGCACCGAAGTGCAACAGTTCCAGTTGCCACGTTCCAAATAGCACACAAAGGTAGACAAGACAAGGAGATGAGTGAAGAGAATCAATGGAGTTTTGACAAGTATAAGAGTGAAACAGAATGAGTAATGGTAGAAAGGAATATGAAAGATTACCCAAGAGACTGAATACATCTGCGTAAGCCA